ATATGCGTGCGTCCGTGCGTGCGTGCTTGCGTGCTTGCGTGCGTGCGTGCGTTGGTGTGTGTGTTTATGGGTGTGTGGTTGTGCGTGAGTGTGCGCGTGTGTGCTTGTGTGCGTGTGATCGTGTGTGTGCGTGTGTGCGTATGTGCGTGTGGGCGTGTATGCATGTGCGCGTCTGTGCGTGTGTGCGTGTGTGCGTGTGTGCGTGTGTGCATGTGTGCATGTGTGCATGTGTGGACGTGTGTATGTGTGTGAATGTGTGCAGGTGTGCAGGTGTGCGTGTGCGTGTGTGCGTGTGTGCGCGTGTGCGTGTGTGCATGTGTGCGTCTGGGCAAGTGTGCGTGTGTGCGAGTGTGCGTGTGTGCGTGTGTGCATGTGTGCATGTGTGCATGTGTTCATGTCTGCATGTGTGCGTGTGTGCATGTGTGCGTGTGTGCGTGTGTGCCTGTGTGCATGTGTGCATGTGTGCGTGTGGATGTGTGCGTGTGTACATGTGTGCATGTGTGGAGGTGTGCATGTGTGCATGTGTGCATGTGTGCATGTGTGCACGTGTGCATGTGTGCATGTGTGCATGTGTGAATGTGTGCATGTGTGCATGTGTGCATGTGTGCACGTGTGCATGTGTGCACGTGTGCACGTGTGCATGTGTGCATGTGTGCATGTGTGCATGTGTGCATGTGTGCATGTGTGCATGTGTGCATGTGTGCATGTGTGCATGTGTCTATGTGTGTATGTGTGTATGTGTGAATGTGTGTATGTGTGAATGTGTGTATGCATGCATGTGTGCATGTGTGTATGTGTATGTGTATGTGTGCATGTGTGCATGTGTGCATGTGTGCATGTGTGCATGTGTGCATGTGTGCGTGTGTGCATGTGTGCATGTGTGCATGTGTGCATGTGTGCATGTGTGCATGTGTGCATGTGTGCACGTGTGCATTTGTGCACGTGTGCATGTGTGCATGAGTACACGAGTGCATGTGTGCATGTGTGCATGTGTGCATGTGTGCATGTGTGCATGTGTGCACGTGTGCATGTGTGCATGTGTGTATGTGTGTATGTGTGTATGTGTGTATGTGTGTGTATGTATGTGTGTACGTGTGTATGTGTGTATGTGTATGTGTGTACGTGTGCGTGTGTGTGTGTGTTGTTGTGTGTTGTGTGTGTCGTGTGTTGTGTGTGTGTTGTGTGTTGTGTGCGGTGTGTGTTATGTGTGTTGTGTGTGCGTTGTGTGTGTCTGCGTTATGTGTGTCGTGTGTTGTGTGTTGTGTGTCTTGTGTGTTGTGTGCTGTGTGTTGTGTGTATTGTGTGCTGTGTGTTGTGTGTTGTGTGTTGTGTGTCGTGTGTTCTGTGTTGTGTGTTCTGTGTTGTGTGTTGTGTGTGCGTGCGTGTGTGCGTGTGCGTGTGTGTGCGTATGTGTGTGTGTGTGTGCGTGCGTGCGTGCGTGCGTGCGTGCGTGCGCGCGTGCGCGCGTGCGTGCGTGCGTGCGTGCGTGCGTGCGTGTGTGCGTGCGGGTGTGTGTGTGTGTGTGGGTGAGGGGGGGGGGGGTATGGAGGGGGTATGTGGGTATGTGTGGGTGCGTGTGGGCGTGTGGGTGTGCGTAAGTGAGTGCGTGCGTGCGTGGGTGTCGGTGAGGGTGTGCTCGTGCGTGCGTGCGTCCGTGCGGGTGTGGGTGTGGGTGCGGGTGCGGGTATGGGTGTGGGCGTGGGTGTATGGGTGTGGGTGTGTGTGGGTGTGGGTGTTGTGCGTGCGCGCGCGTGCGTGCGAGCGTGAGTGTGTACGTGCGTGTGCGTGCACGTGTCGTTCTGTGTGCGGGCTGCCACGGCACACGAGAGGAAGAGAAAACTGCACCGGCCCACGAGCGGCGCACACGTCCGCATCCGCGCCCTCGCGGTCCGGATCCTGGGGCGCGACCTCGCGGATACGCGGCCGCGCGGATATGCTCCGCGCGGGCAACCCGCGAAAAAACGCCCCGCACCCGCGGGGTAGCGGCCCGGAGACCCGCCGCACGCGAGGCCGCGGGAACGGATCTGTCCCTCGCCCACGATGAACACAAACCTCCGGAGGTCCGCGCACAATCTCTCCGGCCCGCGCGCCGGACCTCCAAAACCGCGGGGCCCCAATTTGCCGATCCAAGAAATCCGCGCGGAGCTCCGAAAGCTCATACATCTTCATTTTTGCGACCCATCCACGGCGGGTCCGTATTGTGACGACCCCGGCGTTGGTTTCTGGCACCGCGTGGCCCGTTCAACCTTGACGACCGGCGGCCTTTCGATCACCAGATCGTTCCATGTATCGACCGATTCTAAGCCGCCAGCGGCGTTCGACCTTGAGCGCCCGCGCTGGGGTCGCCGCCGCATCGACACGATACGAGCCTGCCGTACTATGCAGGCGACACCGACTCTGGACGGAGCGCACTTCCACCGGTGAAGGCCACCCCCGTCGTGCACACCAGGAGCGCCAGTGCTCTCAGACGGTCAGACCGACCGCGGCAGCGGTGGGCGACCACACGCGGGCCCCACCCCTGCAGGCCATGCTTCTGAAACATCAGCAGGGGGTCACAATCTGGGGGACGTCCCCAGGCATGCTCGCGTCGTGGAAAAAATTACGACGGGAAAATGCTTGCGCTTTCGATCTCCAGGGGCCCTCGCAAGGCCGCGAGACCGTCAAACGCGCCTCAAGATGAAGGACCGGCCCTCGGGAAAGGCTCGGGACTTCAAGTGACCCCGCCTTGAAAAAAACAGTACGTCGGATGTCTGGGTCTGCAGCCTGGTGAACTAGGGGGCCACATGCGAACCCTACCCCTACCCCCCACGATTTCTGAGGGGGAGGGTGGGGCTCACTTCGCTCGGGAGCTCCCGAACCAAGTGAACCCCACCCTCCCCCTCATAAATCGTGTGGGGTTGGGGTAGGGTCCCAGGGTTCGCACGTGGCCCCCTATGACCCCAACAGGGGTGGCCGACTGGGCCCGCAGGAGCGGGGCTCGTGAGTGGCCGCAGGAGCGGGCCGCGCGCCTCCACGGGACGGCCCCGGGAGCGGCGTGCCGGCAGAGCTGCCGAGAGGCACGCCGATGGAGACGCTCTTTTCTCCTGGTCGCCGGGCTCGACCCGGCCGCCCCCGCGTTGGGCCGTGCCTAAGGGAACAGATCGTTGCATCGACATAGACTGTCGAAGCCCCCGCGCGGATCTCTTCGATCGGTGCCAGAGGCGCTGCCAAGGGGCTCCAGCGCCGATCCGAGAAATCCGCGCGGACCTCCGGAAACCATATGCTTGTGCCATTTTCGTTTCCCGCAGGCCATCCAAGCGGCGCAGCTCGAACATCACCTGCACCCCCGAGAACATCACAAGCGCAGCCCCCGCGACTGTCTCCAGGCCCTCGACCCCAGCGCTGGCCGCCCCGGCCATCAGCTCGCCCACGCCGCCGAGGCCAACCGAGTAGCCGATCATGTTGACCTAGAGGAACAGAAATCTGCATAAACATGCTTGCTCATAAGTCCGTGCGGATTTCTTGGATCGGCGCGGGACCCCCCCTCCCTGGCGCGCGCAGCGCCGGAGGCGCCGCCAGGGGGCCCAGCCCAGAGCCAAGAAATCCGCGCGGACAGCCGAGGAATTGTGTTTATGCATTTCTTCTTCGATGACCGCCATGAGCACCAAGATGTCAGGGCGACGGGGTCTATACATATCCACTCATCCTGGGCCCCAGAGTGGCGTGAAAATGATCCCAGGTCGAGGGTTCAAAGGCCCACCCCCAGATGGGATTAGTCCCAGGGTTCCACAGCCCCCCCCCAGATGGGATGGGGAGGCGGGGCCGAGGCCGAGGCCGAGGCCGAGGCCGAGGACGACGCCGACGCCGACGCCGACGGACGACGACGACGACGACGACGACGACAACGACGACGACGACGACGACGACGACGACGACGACGACGACGACGACGACGACGACGACGACAGACGACAACGACGACGACGACGACGACGACGACGACGACGACGACGACGACGACGACGACGACGAACCACCCACACCCACCCCGCCACGCGCACAGGGCCACGACCACAGGGGGAGGCGGGGGCGAGCCCATTCGAGAGGCCTTCGCGAGGCTCACGGCCGTACCCATCCAACGGGGGGGGTGGGGGAGGGGGGCGATCCCATTGGCATCGAGGGGGGGGCGGAGCCCTAGATCATGCATGCCTCTCTGGCCATGCCAAGAGGCCGTATGCACCGCTCCTGGGTCCAGGATAGGCCAGGCCTGGGGCGGAGGATAGGTATACTCTGGGTGTCTTAAGAAGCGTGGGGGGGTACCCCCCCGACGGGGGTCAACCTCGCCTCGTCGTCGCGCCGCGACGAGGGTCGGCGCGCCTTCGGCGCGCGGTGGCTGCCCGCGACAGGGGTCGATGTGGGGCTGTCGGCGGGGGTGACGCCCCCCCGATGCTTATTAAGAAACTCGGAGTAGATCTCGTCGCCCTAGATGTAGGAGCTGCCGGCCAGCGCGGCAATCTGCCGGTGGACCCAAGGCCAGCTGCTGGCGAGTCGAGCCGCCCTCCGCTGCCACGCGGCCACGGCGAGCGTCTCGCAGGCGAGGAAGGCGGCGTTGAGGGCGCCCCACGCCATCAGCTTGGCTTCGGCGTCGTGCCACACTGCCACAAAGGCGAAGACCTAGAGAGGAGGCAAAAACTGTATAAAGATAACCTGTCGGAGCTCCGCGCAGATCCAAGAAATGCGCGCGAAGCTACGAAAGCTTATACGTGTGTGTGCATGTGTCTGTCCCGCCACGACCACTGACGAAGCCACAACTTTGTGGCGCCGCCCACCCATGGGGATGTAGAGGTAGCGCACGAGCCAGCGGTTGAAAGACGCGTGCCAGCACTTCCAGAACCCGACGACGGAGTAGTGGTTGCAGAGGGCGCGCGCCATGTTCTCGGGGACGTCGATGCCGTCCGCGAGCGCCCAGGCCCGGGCCACCCGCCAGAGCACCAGAAACTTCAGCCACATCAGGTTCAGCGTCAAGAACACCGCTGCCGCTCCCAGCTGCGGCCCCTGCTGGGGGGGGGGGGGGGGGCGACAGAGCACCGCTGCCGCTGCATACTCACCTGGACCTCTCCCTGGGCGCGCCCTGGCCGGCCTCTCGCAGAGAATCCAGCACTGGGGGCCTCCCAGGGGGCCCCAAGAAGGCCCCTGGCGAGGGGGAAGGGCAGCTGATCATGGGTGCCTGTTCAGCCGCTGACCTGCTTGCCCATCTGCCCGCTTCGTGCCAGCGCGAAGCAGGGGTAGAGGTGGATGCCGGCCTCCAGCGCACAGACGGCCGCGGCCAGGCGCGCGAGGTACCATCCCAGCGAGACCGATGCCTGGGGCGCCGGGAGCTGGCACTGGTCCGGCGACGGGCAGGAGTTCGGCGCCCCCTGCCGAGAGTCCGGGGAGGGAAGAGTGCCGATCGCGCTGCGGGGGTCCTCGGGAGGCCCAGAGAGGCAGAAGCGGGGCCAGGGCAGCGCTGCACGCGGCAACCACAGCATATCCCTCCCCTGACTCTCGGGAGCGGGCGCGCCGGACTCTCTGGCCCGTCGTCCAGGTAGTCGTCGAAGCCGATCGTGGGCCCGGCGAGGAAGCAGGGCGCGTAGAGCGCGTGCGACAGCGCGTGCGGCAGCGAGTAGCGACTCCGCAGCGCCGCCGCGGGCCCCTCCTGGGGGCCCTTCTCGGCCAGCATCGCCGCGGCCCCGGGCCGCGCCGCGGCCAGGGCGGCCGCGTGCCAGTCCAGCGCGAAGCTCAGCAGGCGCAGCAGGATGAGGTTCACGCTCTGCGTCCAGTCGTACTCCCCTTGGTACCTGGCAGAGCAAGAAAACATACTGACGAGACCTCATTTGCGCTGCGCTCCGACCAGGGTTCCAATGAGCGAATCCAGACGTGGCAATGAGGGCCCCCCATGTAGCCCAAATCGAACACGAGGGAAAGGCAGCGGTAGCCTTACCGTTTCCTCCACAGAGTACCCGTGGCCGTCCAGGAATTCCCAGCGTGGCCCCGCCAGCGCACTGAAGGTCAGCATCCGCCGCAGTGGCCACTGGGGCTCCTTTGGGCAGGGACCGACCGTCCTGGCAATCCTGTAGGCCCACCACGGTATGTCCGTGATTAAAGCCAAGGAACGTTCTGGAACAAACTAAACAACAGCATAAACCTGATTCCATACTCTTGGATCATAAAACCGGTGTGTTACAACAGCGCTGTCCTAGTCAATTTTTTTCTGAGAACACCCCGCCCAAACCACAGAAGTTTCTTTGGACCTTCTTCGGTGGGCCCATATGCGGAAACCCGAAAAGCACCGCTACCGCTACTCCATGGACCTCTCCCGGGGTGCGTTCTGACAAGCATCTCGAGGTAAACCCAGCCGTGGCGACAAGGGCCTCACAGGAGGCCCAAGAAAGGGAAAACGAGGGAAGCGTAGCAGCATTGGTACCTTGAGCGCATGCAAAGCGACCCCCGCCCCCCACATGAGGAACTTTAGATCAATTAGACCGTCAAACGACGTGTAGACTGCAAGCGGAAGCTGCTCGACTGTCAGCCAATAAAAACGCCGCGCAATTCCATGCGAACGCCGCGCTGCTGCGATGCTCATCGGCGTTTGAACTTGGCGTTGCCTCGTGCTGCCACACGGTCAGCGCCCAACGACACTGTGGATACTCGCGCGCTCGCGCCGGGGCAAAGGCAAAAGGCAGGTCGGGGCGCCTCGCCACTGCGGCTCCTTCGCGGCGATGGCCACGACGGCGAGCAGCCACGCGGCGGCCGCGCCGGCGCGCGTGCCCGCCGTGGCGCGGGCCGCGAGGTAGAAGGCCGCCACGAGCGCCAAGGGGAAGAGCGCGCCTGCGCCGTGCACGTACGCCAGGAAGCCCAGACCTGCTGCTGAACATCGCTTGACCGACCCCTTAGCCCCATAGGCGTGGCCTCGGCCCCACTGTCGGGCAGGGCGAAAGGGGGGAATAGCAAAGGGGGGATTTGAGAATCAGCTCACGTAGCTGATTTTCCCGGCGCCTCCCGGCGCCGGAGGCGGCTATGTATCGAGGAATGGGCCCCTCGGTGGGGCCGAAACCAGCTGCATGCAGCAAATTTCGTAATCCCCCCTTTCCCAATCCCCCCCTTTCGTTCGGCCCGACACTGGCCGATTTGCCCCCCCAGATGGAGAAGGCGGGCTTTGAGACGAAGCCGGGACGCGCATAGAATCGGGCGGGGACAGATCGAGAATCTCTGAGGTCAAGCGGCTCTGTAGGACGCATCGGGCGCCGCGGCCTTCTCGGAGCGTCCCGGGAACGCTCTGAGAGCGTTCCGGAACGCTCTGGAACTGGATGATCCTCGTCCTGGATGCTTCGCCAAATGGTCAAGGATGCTCCTCGATGGTCCTCGCCCAGGAAAAATCGCACACGTCCGAGCGATGCCAGCTTCCCAGACGCCGTTTTTCACGAACAAAAACACGACGGAGGGTTCTGGGCAGTTTTCGGTCTCCGGGGCCCTCACTCGTTCTGCCGCACACTCCGATCAAGCCTCATCTGAACATCTGCGTGCGCACTTGTAGCCGGTGCGCATGCTCATATCCGCCACGGTGCCGCTGGGCATGAAAGTGGGCGTGTCCTCAGGTCCTTTGCCTAATCCATGAAGCCGCAGTCCTCACCCCTCAGGAATGTTTCAGGAGCCCAGACCCCAAATTCTCACATCTACCGGGCTCCCGGCGTCCCCTTGGGCCTTGGATCGTCGTCTCGCGTGACTTTGTCGGGCCCAAGAGGGCCCCAGGACCGGCCAAGAGGGCCTTAAGAGACCCCGAAGAGGGTCCAATAGGGCCCAGAGTCGCCGAACGATCGCTCCAAGACGCCCAAGATGATCCCAAGACGGCCTAAGAGGCTCCCAAGACGGCCCAAGAGGCCTCCAAGAGGCCTCCCAAGATCGCTCCAACATGCCATAATCATATATATATATATATATATGTATATCCCATCGGTTCTTAAATCTTTGTTTATGGTCTCGCCAATTCGGATTTCCCACGCTCCAAGAGGCCTCCCAAGAGCGTTCCAACATGCCAAAATCATATATGTTACATAGGTGTTTGAAGATCTGTGCTGCCACGCTGGAGCGGATTGTCCCGCCTCGCCGCCTCGTCTCGCTCATTCGGTTTTCCCACGCTCCAAGACGGCCCAAGACGCCCCGAAGATCGCCCCAACACGGCCCCAGAGGCTCCCAAATACGGCCCCAACACGGTCCAACAGGGCCCCTACACGGCCCAAGAGGCGCCCAAGACAGCCCAAGAGGGCCCCAAGACGGTCCCAAGCAGAGAAGGACCACGAACCGAAAGTTCGAGCATTCTGCCCCGAGAGGGCTCGAGGAGGCCCCAAGAGGGCCCCAAGACGCACCCAAGAGGCCCCCAAAAGGCCCCAAGAGACCTCCAACCGGCCCCCAAGAGGCTCCCAAGAGGCCCTGGAACTGCCCCCAAGAGGCCCCCAAGAGCGCTCCGACGAGAACCCAAGAAGCATCCCTGTGAACTCTAACCAAAACCCAGGCACGGTGGCGAGATGGGCCGAAGGCCATTGGACCTGCTTGGCACGGGGACGGAAAGCGCATTTCCTTTCAGAGCGCGAGATGTCGCTGGCTTGCCCTTTCTTTCTCTCTGTCTCCCCGTCTGGAGGCTCTCTTGGGGCATCTTGGTGGCATATTGGGCGCCCTCTAGGGCTATCTCGAAGCTGCAGGAGGCCTCTTGAGGGGGAGCCAGGGCGTGTTTGTATCTTGGGAAGGCACTAGAGCGCGATAAAACACGAGTGAAGATTAGGACATTAGGATCATACTGGTGATGATGACGACGACGACATACTGTCTCTTGGGAGCATCTTGGGCGTCTCCCAGGCCCTCCTTGGGCCGTCTTGTGGCTCTCTTAGGCCCGCTTGGGGCCCTTCTGGGCCGTCCTCAGGCTCTCTTGGGAGCCTCTCGGACCGTCATGGCACAATCTCGGGGTGATCTGGAGCTGTATCTGGCCGTTCTTGCCCGACAAGGCGAGGAGCGGGAAAAAATCATAAACCTAAAGGCAGCAATGGTCTATTCGTCCTTCAGCACTTCTGGGGGTCCTCTCGGGGTGCCGCTTGGGGTGTCTTGGAGGCCTCTTGGGCTGTGCTGAGGCCATCTTGGGCTATCTTGGATCGCTCTTGGGCCGTCTTCGCTCCCGTCTGGGCCTCTCTCACGCCGTCTTGGAGGTGCCTTAAGCTGGCGAGGAGCTTATGCAGGTAGGGCGGGGCCAAGGGGGCCCCCCGGGCGGCGAAAGCCATACTTTCGTTTATTGTTCCCGCTTAGACCGCCCATCGGTGCTCGTGGGCGGGGTCTTGGAGACCTCTTGAGCCGTATTGAGGCCGTCGTGGGCTATCTGGGTCGCTCTTGGGCCGTCCTCGGGCCGGTCTGGGCCTCTCTACGCCGTCTTGGAGGCCGTTGAAGCCGTCTGCATACGTGCAGATGTTCGAACACGTCTTGGGGCCGTCTAGGGGGTATCTTAGGCCATCTTGGGGCGATCTTACGGGCCTCTGGCCTCTTGGGTCGTCTTTGAGGCATCTTGGGCCGTATTGGAGGACGCTTGGTCTCTCATGGGCTGTCTTGAAGGAACCTCAAGTTGACGAGGACTTTACGCGCTTACGCGAAGCCTACGCGGAGCTTACGTTGCCGCCCGTTTCGGGCCCTGGTGTCAAGAACTGGTTACGTCACCACTCTCTGTTGGGAGCCTTGGTCTTATCAGCTTGTTTACGTCACTGCTCGCTCTTGGGAGCCGCGGTGTTCAGGGTCCGTTAAAGTTCCGTTAACAAAGAACTCTTTTCCCTGTTAACGGTCCGTTAACAGGGAAAAAACGCGTCCGTCACCCGATGTTCCCTGTCAAGTCCCTGTTAAGGGCTCCGTTAACAGGGAAAAAAATGCCCGAGCGTGCAAACCTCTTTTTCTCCTGTTAAGCACACGAGTTTCCCTGGTAAGGGCTCCGTTAACAAGGCAAAGGAATGGATTTTCCCTGTCAAGCACCCGATGCTCCCTGTTCAGGGCTCCGTTAACAAGGACAAAAAAGCCCGAGCGACAAATTTCCCTACTAACGGTCCGTTAACAGGGAAACGGGCGGGCCAATTTTTCACCCGATGGTCCCTGTTAAGGACTCCGCTAACAAGGAAGAGGGCGGGCCATTAGATCCCATCTCGCCCGCGCAGTGCAAAGGCCACCCCCTCACACTCCCCCGAATCAGTTCCTTCCGACTAACGGATCACACGCCACGCGCGCTTTCCGTCATCCGCCGCCCCCTGTTGATTCATCACAGGGGTACCCGGCGTGCTGAACCCTTTCGATTTTGGTTTTGGCTTTTTTTTTCCGAGAGAACTCCTCCTGGGGCTTCGGCGCGTCCCGCCTTCGGGTCGAAGACGACCGGAAATCTGCACAACGCCGCCTCCAAGACGGCCAAGATGACCCAAGATGGCCCCCGCCTCGTCGGGCGTCTTGGCGGACCTGGCTGTCGGGCCACAGCTCGGGCAGCCGGCGGCCGTTCGGGACAATCCAGGCAACCCTGGAACGCTCTCGACGAGGCGCAGACGCTGGGGAGCATCCCGAGACTGACAGACTATCAAGCACCTACGGCAACAGACGAAAACCTCAAGTCCAAAACATCTGCTGTGTAGATTTTGAAGTGCGGGGTCCCTGGAAGGCAAGACCCATGCCCCAGGACCAGTTTTTCATCCCGGCTATTCGTTGACGGTCCCGGGGCCCGGCGAGGGCCCCCATGGTGCCGAAAACGACGAGAAATCTCCGTCTTGATGTTTCAACACGCTGGAAGTCTGCGGCTCGTTCCGAGCCTTCGCCATCCCGAGCCCACCGTATGCCCCCTCACCTCACATTATCCGATGATCCTCAAGACGTGTGTTAGCCCAACGCGTGTTGAACCCGTTGAGCCCCACCGATGGCACAAAACTTGGCGGCGCCAGACGCGCCGCCAAGGGGGTCCAGCGCCGACCCAAGAAACCCGCACGGACCGGAAATTGTATCGAGAGTGAGCTCCATCCTCGCGAAACAAAATGGGGGTTCTCCCGGACGATATTTGACGATTGTCTGATACTCGCGATCACGCCCGTGATTGGCCCCTTTGCCCCCACGGGCCCGCCGCAATCCGCGCCGGCGCCGTGCCGGGATGAACCGTCCGTAAGCACTCCTATAGGCGGCACCGAAGCGAAAATCGCGACGCGTCCGGCCCTCTCCCCCCCCTCCCCCCCCCTCCCCCCCCCCGGCCAAGCCCGTTGTCGCCAGGGGGGTTAGAAATACGATCTCTACTCGGGAGCGGCAAGGAGGGGGGTGTCCAAGAGGGGGGGGTGCAGATCATGACCGGCGGCATGTGCGTGGCCCAGCGGGGGGGCCACGGACGTAATGAACTAAGAAGAGGCGCCATGAAGTCTGGGGAAATACCATGGCCCACGCCATGATATCCACCCCCCCCTAGTCATCACCCCTTTCTTTGCCGCCCCCAATCTACGTTTACGCCGCGTTTCCTTATCCGATCCGATCTCAGGCCTGGCACCAGCCGCACCAGCGCGCCATTGGCGCGCGGTGGCACCGCGCCGCGGCGGCGCAGCGCGCAGGTCGCGAGCCGCACGCCGGCCGCCAGCAGCGCCGCGGCCGCCAGGAGCAGCGGCAGCGCGCCCCGGAAGGCCCGCCACTGGATGTCCTGAGATCGATGCGTCCCAACCCCAGACCCCCTCGAGTCATGAAAAAATCATGACGGGACGTTTTTCGATATTTTCGGCCTCCGGGGGCCCTTACCGGCCCTCAGGACCGTCAAAAAACGACTCGGGATGAAAAACCAGTCCCGGGGATTCGGTCCGGACCTCTGGAGGTCGCGTCATGAAAAAATCATGACGTCGGGGGTCTGGAGTCGGGGCGTGGACCTAAGGAACCCTAAATAAGGAACGAGGCCCCTTTTTGCCACAAGTTGAACTTCGATGTCCCATCGAAGACATGAGGAACACCCGAGGCAAGCTGCGAAACACTCAAGGAACGCGGAGCCCCTCCCCAACCAAAAGGGTTCCTTCTTCAGGGCCCCGACTGTAGGTGCGTCCCAACTGGGATCCGAACAAACGGGGTCGAAAGCTCTCGCCGCATCGCCATTGCAACGCCGATGCATCAGCGACGTCGGCGTGGAGGACATCGGGCCCCACATCTGGCCACATCGCCGATACATCGGCGATGCGGCCCGATACTCCGAGCCAATTTGGGAGGCCTGGAATCCACTGTGAGGGTGTCCAGGCGACTTGTTTTTGGTCCGATGTTGTACACCATCTGCAAAACAGTCCAACCAAGGTAATTATTGCATCTTTTCCATTCTATCCTAACTCAGGAGGTATTTCTGTCGGGAAGAAATTGCTCACGATGTGTCATATCATGTCGGATGACGGCATGGTGGCGATATTTTATACCACCGACGAACCGGCCGACGTTCCACAGTCATGTTTGCCGAATACCTATTCCGATGCGAAACAGGTTGTTTGAACCAAACGCCCACAATGGCGGGCGGATGGGTGATAACATGACGCCGGCACGGGTGAATGTTATCGACCCCCCGCGTCGGGCACCACGGTGGCCGAACCCGCGCGCGCCAGATTTCGGCACACCGCGCCTGGGAGCGCCAACCCGGAAAACAATCAGCCTGGTGAAGACCCAACCATATGCAATTGTGGATAACTGAATATCGTTTTCGATGGAGATCCCTGTAAAGCCACGGAGCGTGTGAGAAGTGTGCCGACATGAGTGCCGATGACGCAGGCAAACGGTGCCACTGGGGCATTCGGTGAAACTCCATGTGGGGCAACGAAACGCGTGAGAGGTGCGCCGAAATTGGTGGCGGTGACGCATGCGAACTGCGCAGCTGGGACCTTCGGTGGAGCTGCGAATGGTGCAAATAAGACCTTCGGTGAAGCCCATAGGGCCACGAAACGAGTGAGGGGTGTGCCGACATGGGTGGCGGGGACGCATGCGAACGGCGCCAGTGGGACCTTCGGCGGGGCCCCTTGGGGTTACGAATCGCGCAAAAGACGTGCCGAAGCGGAAACACGCGGAGGGCAGAGGCAGGGAAGGGAGGAGGGAGGAGGTGGGAGGGGGAGGAGGAGCGAGAAGTGGACGCGAGGTGCTGTCTCTTCTAAACGAAGGTCCAACACCACAGGACGGTTAGGAGTTTTACAGCGCGGACCATCCGCGCAGTGCTCACTCCCGCTGCAGAGGCAAGAACCTGGGTGCTCGACGGACCCCCTGTTGATTCGAGAGGCCCGCGGGGCACCACAGTGCTGATCGCGGCTCGCGACGACCTCGATCATTTCTTACTCCAGCCGCCGCTATACTTGCCCCCCGCTGCCCATGCCTTCTCGGGGTCGCAATCCCACCCTCCAGACTCGCAGTAACACTTATCCTCGTTCCAACGGCCCCCCGAGGTCCAGCGACCACCGCTGGCACTGCCAGCGTCCTGCTGATTCTTTTATCCTCTCGAAGTCCAGTCGCCATCGCCAGCGCCGCTGGCGCCCATCTCTCCTCGCCCACGTCGACATGCACTTTCGTCGCTCCACCATCGACCAGTGGACTTGGAAGAGCCCCATGCACCTTCACCCCCATCTCTGATCTCGTCGCGACCCTGCCCCATGGCCCGGGCCGCGCGAGCGCCGGCGGGGGCATCGGCTTTTCCACTGCCCTCGCGATCTCTTTCGGCGCCAGTCCCCGCAGGGGCGGGCGGAGGCAGACTGGGCATGCAAGCCGCGGGCGCGGCAGCAGCATGCTCGGCATGGGCCCTGATGGTTACTTGATCCCATAGGAATTCTTCACCTGCAGCACGGCCACAGCAGCGCGCAACACGCCGCGCCCACTCTGCACCTGGCCCATTTTGTCGCCGGCGTCTTCCGGCGAACCAGCCTCGCCAAGGAACCTGCCCCTGCCGAGGACGTCGAGGCGCCGCGGCGAGATGACCCCGCGGCCCCGTTAATCACGTCAGCAGGGGCGAGAGCCAACGAGAAAACCAATATCGCTCTGGGAGGAAGGGGTCGAGATGATGCATGGCACGAGCAAAAGCGCCCAGATGCAACGAACGAGACCTTCGACCGCGTGCGTCTTAGTGAAAGGGGAAAGCGCTGTCATCGCAGCGCATGGGCCAACGCCGCGCAGGACCCCTAATCAGCGGGCTGCAACCTACAGCCTGCTTCGCGGCCTTCTCGGGGCCCTCTGCGACCCCCAGGGAACTCCCCAAGAATCCGGGCCCTCTAGGAGTCCGACCGAGGGTCTCGGCGCGGCCGCCCAGGAGCCCTCCGGCGCGCGCCCTAGGCCCACCCCAGAGCCATCTCGAAGCATCTCAGGCGTGGAAGCGACGCGGCGAACACTGGGGATAGACCGAGGGCACGAGCGTTGCCAGGGTGCTCTGGCAATTGCGCATAGGGCTCCGCATTGCAAGCCGTTGCTGATGCGGAATTCACTAGTGAATTTTCCTCGTGCCCATGCCAAATTCGGGGAAGTCGCGGGACCGCAGCAGGTCCCGAATTGCGCTCCGATCCTAATGCGGAAGCAACGATGAAGTCCGCCTTGCGCGACGTTCTCGGCGCGGAATCACCACTGCGTTGATCCACTTCCGTGCTTCATGGGTTGCGCCATGTTTCCCGCGTGAGTCGCCGACACCGGCGGCGCAGCACCGCTGCCGATCGAACCCCGCGCGCAATTCCAAGCCAGCCAGAGACGCGCAGAGCAAGGCCCATCAAGAAGGACAGCTGACGACGAAGGAGAGACGCGTGAATGCGATCAGCGGGAAAGCCGTTCCCAACGAAATGAGAGAGAAGAACCAACGGAAGTTCAAGAAGAAGTACCGGCGCAATCGGCAGGAAATTCAAATTGCAGGGAGTTGCAGGACGCGACGGCCAATGGCCGCGCACATGCCAGTCTAATCCGCCGATCCGGCGTGTGAGTTTCTGAGAGCGTGGGCTTGAGCTCGCTCAAGCTTCGTTCTGGGGGGGGGTCGGGATCCGGCGAATTATCCACGCAATTCACTGAACGCTCCGGCGCGGGGGGGGAGGGGGTCCAAGAATCGAGGGGGGGGGGTCGAGCTCAAGCGGGGGGGGGGGTCCAAGGAGGAAGCTCGAGCGGGGACGGGGGAGGGGGGTCGAGCTCAAGCAGGGGGGGGGTCCAAGAAACTGGGGAGGGCAGCGGGGGGGGGGATCCAAGAATCGAGGAGGGGGGGGGAGGAGCTCGAGCGAGGACGGGGGGGGGGTCAAGCTCAAGCGAGGGGGGGGTGTCCAAGGAGGAAGCTCGAGCGGGGACGGGGGAGGGGGGTCGAGCTCAAGCGGATCGTCAGCATCATCATCATCATCATCATCATCATCATCATCATCATCATCATCATCATCATCATCATCATCATCATCATCATCACCATCAGCAGCAGCAGCAGCAGCAGCATCATAATCATCCTCATCGTCATCAGCAGCATCATCATCAGCATCATCATCATCATCATCGTCATCATCATCATCATCATCACCAGCAGCATCATCATCAGCATCAGCATAATCGTCACCATCAGCATCATCATCATCGTCATCCACATCATCATCATCATCATCATCATCATCATCATCATCAGCAGCAGCAGCAGCATCATCATCTTCATCATCATCGTCATTGGCATAATCATCAGCAGCAGCATCAACATCAGCAGCAGCGTCATCAGCATCCTCATCAGCATCATGATCAGCAGCATCATCATCATCATCATCATCATCATCATCATCATCATCACCATCATCATCATCATCATCATCATCATCATCATCAGACGCATCATCATCATCGTCAGCATCAGCATCATCATCAGCATCCTCCTCCTCCTCAACCTCCTCCTCCTCCTACTCTCCTCCTCCTCGTTCTCCTCCTCCTCATCCTCCTCCTCCGCCCTCCTCCTCCTCGTCCTGCTCGTCCTCCTCCTCCTCCTCCTCATCATCATCTTAATCAGCAGCATCAGCATCACCATCATCATCATCATCATCAGCATCAGCATCAGCATCAGCATCATCGGCATCATCAGCATCATCACTAGCGTCAGCAGCATCATCGGCATCATCATCAGCATCAACATCAACAACATCATCATCAGCATCATCAGCATCATCACCATCATCATCATCCTCATCATCCTCATCCTCCTCGTCCTCCTCCTCCTCCTCGTCCTCCTCGTCCTCCTCCTCCTCCTCCTCCTCCTCCTCATCATCATCATCATCATCATCATCATCATCATCATCATCTTCCTCCCCCTCCTCCTCCTCCTCCTCCTCCCCCTCCCCCCCCGGTCCGCGAGGTCGATGCGACTGAGGCGCTGCTCCCGCCACCTTCTGTGGAAACTCATGGGAGCCTCCCGTGTCAGTGTGCTGGCTCCTGCGAGCCGACGCTGACCGATGCTAGTCGACGCTGAGTCGACGCCAGTCGACGCTGAGTCGGCGCTCATCGACGCTAAATCGGCGCTTCCTCGTCGAGTCCGGACGCTAGCGCACGCTAACGCACCCTGGAGACGGAAGCGAGAACACAGAATACACGGCGGGGCTATAACTCAGCCATGTCCACCGCCTGCTGAACCGACGTCCTGGGCCTCCAGCGGGCGGTGGACAGGGATATGGTCCGGCCCCAGGGGCCCAAACACATCCACATCCGCCGCCTGCCGAGGCCTCCGAAGCTCGATCCCTCGAGCGGTGGCCATACGGACAAACCCCCGGAGGAGGAGGAGGAGGAGGAGGAGGAGGAGGAGGAGGAGGAGGAGGAGAAGCAGGAGGAGAAGGAACAGGAGAAGAAGAAGGAGAAGGAAGCGGAGGAGGAAGAGGAGGAGGGCGGAGGAGGAGGGCGGAGGAGGAGAAGGAGGAGGAGAAGGAGGAGGAAAAGGAGGAGGAGGAGGAGGAGAGGCTCCCGTGAGTTGCTATACAGAACGCCACCCGCTCGGCCGCAGGTGCGCGGCGCACTCGGGGCTCTGCCGGCAGTGCCGCCACAGCTCCTCGCCCGCTGCCGGCAGCCAGGCCGCCCAGAACCACACGACGGGCCCGCGGCCGCCAGGCCTCCCGGAGGCCTCAGGCCATAGGCGGCCCCGGCGAGCGAAGGAACGAACGACCACCGCTGGCGGCCAAGCGTCTGGGCCTAGCTCAGACCAGGTGGGTGAGGCCGTGGCCTCTGCATTCTGGCGCGTCTGGAAGCATGCAATGCGAGACAGGTAGAAAGCCAGGAGAAGAGGAGGAGGAGGAGGACGACGAGAAGAATGCCCTTCGTGTCGGTGCATGCGCGAGTGTCCTCTCGCCTGCTCGCCAGCTGTCCCCGACGCCTGCTCGCGCTGGGGCCGCAGGGCAACTCTAGGCGACTTGAGCAGGGACCGACCGCCCCGGCATTCCTATAGTCCTACCACGAAATGTTCTTAGAACCCAACAATGTTCTAAGAACAGAAACAATGTTTCTAGAACATAAGTCCGATGTGCTCAAACAAGACAATCTCAACAAAGAAATGTTCTAAGAACATTTCGTGGAAACCACAATAAGGTTGTCAGAACATTGTTTAGTGGGGGGTTTTAGGCGAGCCGGGACGCCTCGCCACTGCTTGAACGACAGGCTCGAGGCTGTAGGGGCGTTCGGGCGTTTCCGTCGGTCCCCGGCGGTGCTCCGGCCTCGGGATGCAACTTCGAGCGGCTGCGCCTCGCCTCGCCCGACGGCCGCCGGAGGCCGTCAACTGTGGCCCGGGAACCGCCAGGGGGCCGGCTCAGGGCGGGCGGCCCGTACTGACGTTCCGCCTCCTCCTCCTCCTCCTCCTCCTCCTCCTCCTCCTACTCCTCCTCCTACTCCTCCTCTTCCTCCTCCTCCTCTTCCTCCTCCTCCTCCTTCTCCTCCTTTTCCTCCTCCTCCTCCTCCTCCTCCTCCTCCTCTTCCTCCTCCTACTCCTCATCCTCCTCCTCCTCCTCCTCGTCCTCCTCCTCCTCCTCCTCCTTAACAGACGGAAAACCGCCAGGGGACCGCCAGGGGAGCATCGAATCTGAATCTGCGATGCCTTGCCGATGAATCGGCGACAGGCCTCCGATTGCGAAACCGCAACGGTCCTAGTCGGGGTGGGGCCATTGGGCCCCTATCGGCGATGAGTGGCCAATTGGGAGTCGATGCACCCCCCCTGGGCCTATCCTCCCGAAAAGTTGCTCCTGACCATTGCTCGGACCTTTCTGGAGGAGGGTTCTGTGACCACCCTTTTCCCTCCCCTAGAGGCGCTGGCTCCGGCAACTTGTTAGTTGCGTGTGCTGCCCACGCGTCCTTCGTGGATGCACGGCGTGCTTATCTTGTCTTGGCGGTGGCTCGGGTTGCACGAAAGGGGGGATAGCAGCAAAGGTGGGTTGGCGAATCAGCTCACGCAGCTGATTTCCCTGGCGCCACCCGGCGCCGGAAGCGCCAACGTACCGAGAAAAGCGCCTCGCGTTGTGGCCGAAAACAGCTGCATGTAGCAGATGTCGTAATGCCCCTTTCCCTACCCCCCCATTGCGTCCGACCCGAATAACAGGCGTTACAGTCGAAACGTGGACTAAGGACGGGTGGTGAGGACGCGAGACCCTTGGAGGCCGAAGTCGGGACTTTTCGGGGCGACGGGCGACCAGGGGGAAAAAACTGCGAGGGACGGACCGCATGGGCAAGGGAAAAAAAAGGATACCCTAGATGAAGGCGCGCGTCCTTACTAGGCGCGTGGGCTGTATCGGGGCGGGGAGCGGGGTCGGGAAAGGGAAGGGGGGGGGGCATGATTACGTAACCCACGACCGCCTATCGTGACGGACCGCGGTGCTGGGCGCACTGCGGCAGTGCCCGGTGCGCACTGGGAGGGATGGAGGGGGGGCACAATGCGCTTTGTGGGCCCAGGGGGTCTGAAGACTGAAGGGGCCCTGGGACACACAAATAAATACACACAACTAAAGGGTTCCCCATATTTCTTATATTTTCTGGGTTTTTTGTCTTCCCCACCACTTCCCATATTGTCCCATATTTTCTGGGGAATCGGCGATTAATTGTGTCTGTGTGTTTTTTCCCTTCCTGAAAGACACTCATGGCCCCGAGAGCATCGGTCAAGCGCGGGTGAGAAGGTCAGATCCGCTCGTCATCGGTCACCCCGGAGCCCTCGCGGGGCCCACCTGGTGCAGTGCTGCACCCCGTCTCCGTTCTTGACGGCCCCTTGCCCCGAAGGCGTCGCCCGGATGCCGCACGAGGCCAAAAGACTGCTCGAACCCGTCACCTCGAGCCTGCCGTCCGCCCCCCCTGCTGGCCGGAGCCGCTGCTGGGGCCGGCTCCAGAGCGGCCCCCGCGGCCTGGCGGGCTCGGCGCTGCCGCTGCTCCTGCCCCCGGGCGTGCCGCCCAAGGGGCGGGGCCGACGTCCTCCGAGAGGGCCCCGGGAGGCGAGAGGCCTCCGGCAGGATTAGCTCGGGCATGTCTCCCTACAGGCTGATGTTGGAAGAAAAATCTAAAGTCCGCCGGCCCCCTTGTAGGGCCACCAGGCTGTAGGGCTAAGCTTCGCAGTTTCCTGTGCCAGTTGCAGTTTCCAGTTTCCACTGTTACAGTTCTGTTTCTTGCTGCTTACTGTTCCTTGTTGACTTCTTGCTGTTTACTGTTCCTTGTTGATGGACCGCGCACGCCCGAAACGGGTTCTCAGAACTTCTGAAAAGGTAAAAATTAACACCCCTCACGCAGATCGGCGGGGTCAAGGTCCAAAAACAACAAGGATTTGCCACATTTCTGAATTTCGGTGGCACCCCTCACGCAGATCGGCGGGGTCAGGGTCCAAAAACACAACGGATTTGCCACATTTCTAAATTTCGGTGGCACCCTTCATGCAGATCGGCGGGGCCAGGGTCCGAAAACATAACGGATTTGCCACATTTCTGAAATTCGGCGGCACCCCTCACGCAGATCGGCGGGGTCAGGGTCCAAAAACATAAGGGATTTGCAACATTCTGACATTCGGTGGCACCCCTCACGCAGATCGGCAGGGTCATATTTGAATTTCGGTGGCACCCCTCACGCAGATCGGCAGGGTCAGGGTCCAAAAAACACATAGAATTTGCCACATATTTGAATTTCGGTGGCACCCCTCACGCAGATCCGTAGGGTCAGGGTCCAAAAAAACACGTAGGATTTGCCACATTTCTGAAATCCGGCGGCACCCCTCACGCAGATCCGTAGGGTCAGGGTCCAAAAACAAACAGGTTCCGACACTGCTTCACGGCGGCGCCCAGACCTCATGATTTAGCTTTTGCATCTCCCATTATCCGAGACAGGGGGCCGGCGGCATGGGGCGAAGCCTTTACGGATATCCCATACGTATCCGAACATATGCCAAGAATGGTCGAAAGCTCGTCCCCTTATTGCTTTTGGGCAACTTTTGAACATTCCTCCTGTAGAGGGGCATGCCCGACTTAACCTCAGGAAAATCCCAAGAAGCCCCCAAAACGAACGATCCACGCAGGCCCCAGGCTCTCCGGGAGGCACGGCGATCGCGAGCGATGACGGGGTAGTACAGCACGCAGAACTCGGCGCTCAGCAGCCTCGTCTTCTGCCTCACCGACCGCAGGCCTCCGTGCCTCAGGGCCTCGAAGAGGGGCTCCTCCAGCAGGAAGGACAGGATGTAGTAGCCCAGCAAGTGGGGCGCTGCCATGAGCAGCCCGCGTCACCTTAGGACGGGCGTCTCCTCTCACAAGCGGACTGTGGACGAAAAATAGAAAACAGTTTTAGAAATGATCAAAAGTTGTGAAAAGTGATCGAAAATCCCCCCCGGACTATTTTCTGACTGTTTTGGTGGAATATTCCCCTGTAGGAGGACACGCCCGACCTAACCCTGGCCCCGCTGGCCTGCACCTTCGCGGCGCCGGCGACTCCGGGAGGCCACCCAGCAGCCGCGGAGCTGAGCCTGGCGAGCCGTCAGCGAGGGCTTCCAGGAGGCGGCGAGGATGCCCCTGGTGGCTTCGTGAGGGGGGCCAACCGCGGGCTGAGAGTGAATCGAGATACCCATCGGTTGGAAAAAGTGCGTGGGAAAATGAAGTGGGAAGGCGTTGACAGTAGATTGGGTCGCCGCCCGCCGCCCGACAAGGAGGACTGGACTGGACTGGACTAGGCCGCGCCTAGACGGCGCATGGGCAAAAGATTCGGCAATCCTGAATATATGAAATGTGGGGAGGTGCAGGAGCATGCAAACTAACAGCTGCACAGAACCTCGGTGAAATCGCTGTCTCCTTTGCACCAACGAAGTGCAAAGGAAACCTGCGCAGCATTCCGGGGGAGGGGCGGAGGGAGGGAAGGAAAGAGGGAGGGAGGGGAAGGAAAAGGCACAGAAGGCAAACACAGCCAGAATGTCTGCATGTACTGATCGAATGCTGCGTCCCACCGCGTGGACTGCAACACATCCTGAAAACGTTCCGACTTGTTCCCCGCTGCGCTCAGAGCCCGGGCGCGCACGTAAGTTGTCCATTGGAATCGTGGTCGTCCTCTTTTGCGAAGGATGTCTTTCCACTTCTGTGGGACAAGCTCAAGCGCAGGCCCCTGCTCAAGTACCATTGTCTTTGGAAATGCCGTCGGAAGAGACCTCGCCAGTTTACCGTAGTACTTCAACTGCCTCTGAAATAGAACAACTGATGGATTTTGCGCATGTGCTGTCGCTCGCACTTGAACATTGCTTGCTCGAGAGACAAACGTCGGCGGGGTCTTGTAGATTCTCCGGAGGCACCTCGCCTGGAAGCCGTCGAATCGATCCAGATCACGTGATAATAAGAGACCTGGTTGCAGACCATGCAGTAGTTTTGAAAAATACGCATGTTTCAAATATTCGTGTTTTCTTCTGTCGGCTCACATTCGCGTGGTTCCACACAGCGCAGAGCTGTTGGAAGGCACCTTTCGCTGGCCCGAGTCGCCCTGTAAGTTCAGCGCGCGGGTTCCCATCGGAACTAAGAAGTCCCCCAAATAAATTGCATGACTTTTGCATTGGATTTCTTCGCCTCCAGGCCCGAATATGGGAACATCTGATCGGATCCTCATCAAAGCAACTTTCCCTTCGTTCAATTCCAACCCAAATCCTTCGCCAACCTTGGCCGCGAGATCCAAATGACGCTGCAATGCGCCGGGCTCGTCGGCAAGAGGCGTCGCGTCGTCGGCATACAAGATGTCCCGGGTAACGAGATAGCTTCTGGTGCACGTTCCAGCGCTGTTGTTCATCTCATTGTCCACGGCTTCCATCAGCACAGACATGAGGATTATGAAAATGCGCGGGGGTAAAGGGCAGCCGTGAGCAATGCCAGCCAGCATTTTGCGAACGTTGCGAGGATGCGTTGCCCTTCGCGCACAACAAACTTCCGCGCTGCGCACATACCTCGAAGCATCTCGACCATAGCCGCAGGTATTTGGAATTGACGCAATGCGCGCCGCAGCCCGTCTGGATTGATACCGTCAAACGCCTTGCCCCAGTCGAAAAGAAGTATGAGCAATGCTCCATGCATGTCCTCAAAGTGTTGCGTCGATTAAACGGCGCGCCAAAAACAAAGCGTCGGAAGTGCCCCGATTAGGTCTGAAGCCGCATTGAGATTCTCGGAGTCGCTTCTCCACGCCCCCAGTTTTGAGGCGATGTAATAGAATGCTTGTGAGCACTTTGTACCCAACTGCAAGTAGGGAAATGGGCCTGCAATTGCTCGGCTCTGACGCATCTCTAGTCTCTTCTGAGTCGCGCACAATTTCCAAAAGCGCGTCGTCTGACCAGAGTACTTGCCATCTGGAGGTGCACCATCGTTCCCGGCTGCTTTACCAACGCGTAAAAATTTGACGGCGCGGCGTATCCCTTCCAGCGCGAGACCTCCAGTGTCTATGTTCAAACAAGTGTTATTGCGCTCCAGGTGCGGTAGAACTTCGGGCCCCTCGCATAGCTACCATTGCACATGTTCAAGAAAATCTGCCATCGCGTTCGCTCTATTTCGGGATTCCACCAGAGTGCCACTCATATCGCGTAGGCGCCCTTGTTGGGTGGATCTCTTCTTCCGGAGAGATCGCGCGGCTTGCCACCCGCCAGCGTCGATGGCATCATTCAGCAATTTCTTCTTGTCGGCGCGGGCGGAAACTTGGATCTGCCTGTTGAGCGCATTGGTGTTGATGCGTCCCGCAGCGCTCCGGTGCGCGATCAGCTGCAGCGCCCTCGCAGAGATCAATGGCCTGCGCGGGGCCGCCGGAAAAACTGGTACGCGTTGTGACGCAGACTCCATCATAGATGATGCAATGCGCTCAGCTTGCCCTTCGACGGTTTCGCCACGTGCTCGGGAATCCCAGTTTTCAACAAATCGCGCTGCGTAGGCTTTTGCAGTGGAGCTATTCCGGAGAAATGTCCAATCATGCCGGAGTGGTCGGGGCACACGTTTTTGCTTCGGGATGTTCACCTCCAAGCCAATAAGACTAAGAAAATGATGGGGCTGCATAGCTCTGCCACGATCGCCCCATATACAACCAATATTTGGTAACCATTTCGGGTCCAGCACAACATGGTCAAGTTGCTCAAAAACACAGGGCAGCACGGTGCCCATAGGACGGGCCCCAATGTCGTAGCACGCCACTTTGGACTCTACGGGCACGTCAGAAAACGTGTTCGCGATGCACGTGTCTGTGGCAATACACAACTCCACCAATAATTCTCCACTCGATGTAGGCGCCCATTTGCTGGTGTGGTTGTGGTACACGAAATCTCATATGATGTCCTCCTCCCCAGCGCATCTTTGCAAGAGCCTCGCATTCAAATCTCTGAGTTATATCGTTGGTCCGCGGCAACGGCCTTTCGCAAAAATATTGACCAAATCCGTAAAGAAATCATGGCGGGCGTCGAAATCATGAGTGTTCGCCCAAGCGTAGACATTGATCAGCGTCAGTACTCCTCCCTCCACGCGTATCCGAAGTGTTGCAACTCTACTGTTGTATTGGATGTCTCCTTTAATTGACTGTTTAGCCCAAGGTGCTACTACGAAACCCAGTCAAGCAGATTCTCTGTGGTCGCCTTCTGACCCTGATAAAATAACAAAAAAAATATCGAATTCATAAACTGCGGATCCACCACAATGTGTCTGTGGAAGACATAGAACAGCGATATCACAAATCAATCCTGTGCTTTGTGATTTCGTGCAACTTCTGAGGGCTGCTTTGGGCAATGCCTTCGACATTCCACGAAGCGGTCCACCCACAAGATGTAGGAAAGCAAATTAAAAGTGATCCATTCCCCCACTTTCTGGAAGAATTTGCATTGCCGATGCGCCGCCGCATTTCATAGTCATAGTGTGTAGTTCCCTTCCCTCCTCCTTGCTTTCCCTTCCCAACTCCTTGCGCTGTCCTGGTTAACGTTTCGTTCGCTCGGGACGTGAGGCGGCCCAGATCGGGACTGTCTTTGAGGTCGCCCCGAATCGCCCACGCACCGTACCAAGACAAATGCAACTGGTGGTTGGAGACCGTCGCATGCACCACCGGCTCACCCGCCACTTTGAACGTCTGCTCGTGAGTGTCCACGCGGGCCTCTGCCTTGGAGTAGCCCCACTCGTCGACGAACAGCTTCCGGAGGCCAAACAAGAACGACTCCGGGACCTTTTTCTCGACTGGCTGGTCGGGACGAATCCATCGTGTTCGTGTTGTGCTTGATCTGGCTTTTACCGAAAAACGTGATGAACTTATCCCGGACAGCTGTAGACCCGCATTTTGCAAAGACGATGCTATTGAAATCGCCTTTCACGCACTTTGGGTGTTGATATCCGGTCCTGTTCCGGAGCGTGCGGATGGGGCCCGAGATGCATCCTCCAGTTCTTCTACCCGTGACGTAAGCTTGTCGATATTCAAGCGTACCGGTGCCAACACGTTCTCCAAGTCGTCTCTCGATACTCCATGCCTTTTCATAGCGGCAAGATCGGTATGGATAGGGCCCAGTTGTGTCCTCAATAAGTTCTCGATTGCGTCCATGGTTACAGCGTTAAACGAAGAAGCATTGCTGTGTACGGAGGGCGCTGTATCTATTCCAGCTGCCGCCGCAAGCTGTTCTTGAAATTGCATGTAGCGCTGCGTCTGAAATTCATCGGAGGCACCCTCTGCTCGTGTAAGTGCGTCCATATCCTGTGGAGGGCTGCTTCGTCTGGCCTGCTTCAGGACACTCTTCACCGGGGTCCCCATATGATGCTTTTCTGCTGTCATCGCGAAAGTGGAGAAGTAAGTGACCGGAAAGGGACTTTGTCAGGGGAGAAAGAATGTGACAGAGAGTCGCAACCAGTAAGGGGTATGCTCTGGTATGCTGATTGTGAGCGATTCTTGAGCCAGTCGTCTAAGACAAGGAGGGAAGAGGGAAAAAACAGGGGGATGCTCGAAGCAGGAAGGCGGCCAAGGAAGTTTGGGACCAGGGAATCCAACGAGACTCACCTTCAACCACCGATGGGTAGTCGTGGGATCTGTTCCGTCGCGGGCCCGATCTTGCGACACCTCGCGAGCCAAGACGAGGCCGAGCGTGCGAGCTCCTGCTGGGCGAGCACGGCCCGCAGAGGCGACGTGTGCGCGCAGCCCTCCAGTGAGAGGAGGGCAGCTCGCACCGCCCCCCAGAGCTCCGTGTCCACTTTGGACCACAAGGCCTGACCACGAGATCATCTTTTCACTCGCGGCGAGAACGGGCGTTATAGGGGGGGGGGAGGGGGGGGACGGGGGGGGAGGGATAGGGGGGGGGAGGGATGGGGGGGGGACTCTGCTTCGCCTGCGGCATCCTCGCAACTCTGGGCTCCGACATGCAGTGCGCGAGGTGCCTCAGCCCGCTCCGCCTGCCTGAGACGTCTGCGCCACTCTGGGCCCCGAGATGTCATGCGAGAGTTAGGTCAGGCATGCCCCCCTACAGGCGGATTTTGGGCGAAAACTTAAAAATACTCACAGAATCACACAAAAAAAACAAAAGAATACTCAGAAAATCGTCCACTGGCTATTCTTTACTATTTGTGAATGTTCCTCCTGTAGAGGAACACGCCCGACTTCATGCGAGAGGTGCGGGACCCGTTGCGCCGAAGACATCCTCGCAACGCTCAGATATGTGCCGCGCGCCAGATGCACCCCCCGCTTCGCCTGAGAGATCCTGGCAAGTCTGGGCTCCGAGATGCTGCATGGGCGAGATGCACTGGCTCGTTTAGCCAGTCGAACACGTCGTGCCCGCGTGCGACATGATCGTGCTCACCAAATGTGGAGGGGAACGAGGAGAAGAAGAAGAAGAAGAAGAAGAAAGACCAGGAGCGACGGGACATGCGTGTGTTTTGCAAGCATGCTCAAGACATCACTGTGGAAGTGATCCGCTGCAGGTGCAGCCGACCGGGAGGAGCAGAGCAGAGAGCAGCTCCAGCGGTCCGATAGAGCGCCTCAGACGAAGGACGGCGGCCGAGGGCCCAAGGACTGCAAGAGAGCAAGCCAGGCGCTCCCAAAACACTTTCGGGGATGGACAGAACCCCCTTCAGCAAAACGTGGTTTAGTGAAAACGACCTCGGGCCCAAACCTGTTGGGCGCAAGCCTGGAAAAGGACGGCCGCGGCGCCCTCTCGACAACCGAAAACGGACAATTCCCCAGTCGACGTGTCAGGGCGGGGTTTCTGTCCACCCCCGACACTTCAGGGGCACGACGCTCTGTGGGGCCCTGCAAGGGCTGAGCATTTTCTTAGGGTGGAGGGCTCAGGATGAAATCCATATGGGCTTTCGCACCTCGAAGATCGATCCGTCTTGTGATTCACCATTGGCAAATTCAAGCCTCGAGAATCCATCGAAACGGCATTTCAGATTTCACCCTTTGCCCTCCACCCAAAGAGAATGCTCGGAAGGGGATATACCTCTGGCCTTAGACGAAGTCTCCAGAGAGGAGACGCCGCGGAGGCTCGCCTCGGCACTGCACCGCTCTCTGGGCCAGAGGCGAGCGTCAAGAAAAAAAACGCCCGCCGCGGCACGCCCCTTCAAGCCGGGTCTCTCGCGACGCGGGGCGCCCCGGACGTCGAGGGCGCGCGAGGCAGGATGGATGCTCCTCAGAACGTGTCTTAGCGCCAACCTGCGCGTGCGTGTGTGTGTGTGTGTGCGTGTGTCAAGACCGTGCAATACGACGCAGGTGATGGAATGGGGCACTGGTGGAGCTGCACGGGGCAACACACACACACACTCACTGGGCCAGCACGCGCCCTGGGGATCATCGACAGGAGGGCGGGGCAGAGGAGGGCGGGCCAGAGAGCAAGCAGCACGGGCGCGATCGCGTCGCACACGGGCGTCGGCCGCCAGCTGCAGGGCACCGGCCACGCGCGCTCGGTGGCGCACACGGCGCGGAGGGCCACGCGGAGCCGGAGCCCCCCGGCCGAGGCCCGAGCGCGCGGGAGGCCCGTGGCCGCGCGCGCGGCCAGCGCTCGCCCCGGGCTGGCCGCTTCCGTGTGCGCGCTCGGCCTCTCAGCACCGACGCACGCCGACCGCACCCGTGCTCAGGCCGCCTCCTGCAGCGACTGCGTCGGCAGGACTCGACGCGCCCGGCCCCGATGCCCTCCCGCCGGATGCCGCTCCGCGCGGACCCGACGACTGGCCCCCGAATCCTGAGCGCGACGCGATGCACGGGACGTCCAGGGGGCGATATAACCGGGGGGGACGGAGGACGGGGAGGACGGAGGAGGCGGGAGGGAGGGGGAGGGCGGCAGTCGTCGTCCCGAGCAGAGGCTGCTCGCTGCCCCTCGAACGGGGACTTTTGGTACCCCGGGGCCTCGGCGCACCCCCTGGGTGACCCTGCGGCCGTGGGTCTCGAAACACCCTCGATCTCCGCCCTTCGTTGCCTCCAGGCGGAGTCTTCGGAGTCCCGGCTGGCAGTGTCCCGGCTGAGGGGGCCATGGCGCCTGCGGGGTTCGACGCCACAGGCCCCGGAGCCTCCTCGCCAGAGGCGCCCTCGCAGACCCGACGGGACGGGCACGGTAAGGCACTGGCGCCTCCGAGCTGCGACCGCGCCAGAGGCACCCTCGACAAAATTCCCGCAGCGCGGGGCGGCGAGGCTGGTCGACAGTACCGCGTCTGAGCAGCTGCTCCTACCCCTCCCCGCTGTCCTCCTCCCTTGGTCCTCTTCCCCGCACTGTCCTAGATGGACGGATGGGGAAGGCCTGCACTAGCAATGCTCAGGACACCGTGCGCCAGGGTTGTCCATGAAGCCGTTCGTGTGTGTGCGTGTGTGCACAACGGCGTGTTCAGTGCATTGAGAGATCAGGCTGACAGCGTTGGGTGGAACCTTGAATGACACCACGACTCCCGTCTGGATCTCCCTTCCCCATACAAGCTTATAAATTCAATGACCAAGAGAGGACAAGGGAGTTCGGCATTGACATCGGTCCCTGGCTATCTATGACAGAGCGCCTGAAGGCGAAGGCGCACATCGTTGGGCAACCATTTTGACTCGTGAATCACAGCAATATTCTCCGTTAGCGAATAGCCTGCAGCCCGCTCGCGTCGGGCTACAGAACAACGCTGGAATTACTGACGGCCTTTCCTAGGCGCGCGCTTGCAATAAGCTACCTGGATCCTGGCCCGGCTGCAGTCCAACAGTCGGCAAGGTCCTGAATGGCGGCGTCAGCGCTCCTAGTAGCGGCCCCTGCCACCCCCGCGGTCATCACGGCCACCACCATCACGAGGCTTCGCAGCGCCGCACTTGAAGCACTCGCTCTTGGAGGCGAAGACCACTCCGCCGCAACCGGGACAGTCCCAATCGCCTGGGCGCCTCTCTCCCTTGCCACCCTTCCCGCCGCCGAACTTCCCATCCCCCTTCCCGCCGAAGTCGCCGCCCTTCCCGCCGCCGAAGTCGCCCTTGATGCCGCCCGGGTTTCTCTGCCGCTTCTTCCGGAGCCAGTCTGGGGTGCCGCTCTCCGAAGACGCGTCGCGCTTCTTCTTGTCGTCCTTCTTATCGCGGCTGCGGCTGCGGCCGCGGTCACGGCTGCGGCTGCGGCTGCGGCCCATGCTGCGTCCCCCGGGTGCCGGTGAGGCGTGCCAGTAAGGAAGGCAAGCTCGAGCACCCTCGCGGAGCGGAAGAGAACGTGAGCAGATGCGAAGTATTAGAGCAGACGTCGCCAAAGACATGATGTGCCGCCCACTCATTGAAATGGCATGGCTGCATCTCTGCATGTGTAAACAATCCACCAAGGTGCCCTCGGCACATTGAGGCGCGTTAGACTGCTTGGTGTGACTGTCTGGTAGGGTTCCCGCACTCTTCCAGGAGCGGCCCCCATAGTGCACACAGCCGGCGTCGAAAACATGCCCACGTGCAGTGCGTGTTCCAACTTCATGGTACAGTCGGGGCGTTGACCTAAGAGACCCTAAATAAGGAACGGGGCCCCTTCCTCCCATAAGTTGAGCTCCGATTTCCCATGGAAAACCTGGGGAAAACATAAGGCAAACTGCAGAACAATCAAGGAACACCGAGCCCCTCCCCAACGAAAAGGGTTCCTTCTTCAGGGCCCCGACTGTACTGAGGCATGCCGACCGCACTCGTGATCAAACCGCCTCTTGCGGCAACTGTGTCTGCAAGATTCGGCGCGTCCGGCCCCGAAGCCATTCCGCCAGATGCGGTTTCGCGGGCCCGAGGACTGGTCCCCAAATCCTGAACACGATGCGATGCACGAGATGTCCAGAGGCCGATGGTAAGGGGGAGTGAGGGCGAGGACGACGGAGAAGGCGGGAGGGAGGGAGGGAGGCATTCACCGTCCTGGTGGTACTCGCTCCTCCCGCTTCTCCTGCTCCTCCTCCTCCTCCTCCTCCTCCTCCTCCTCCTCCTCCTCCTCCTCCTCCTCCTCCTCCTCCTCCTCCTCCTCCTCCTCCTCCTCCTCCTCCTCCTCCTCCTCCTGTTTCTCATCCTCTTCCTCCTCCTCCTCCTCCTCC